CCCCCCCACCCCCCACCACATCCAGAGGCCATTGGAGGTTGAGCGCTTCATGTACGGGTAGCCACGCTATCGGATGCCGTAGGTCACTGAGCTACGAGGGCTGTCTGGACACGGCCAATGAGCACGCTTCCGCAAGGGCCGCATACAGGAAGGGGAGTCGATTGTCCAGGACGGAGATAGTGCAGGCCCGTATAAGCGCGCCGGTACCTCAGGGGCCAGAGACCCGTCTCGGAATACGGCACAGGTGGTCTCATACCCAAACGTGTCACATCATATCTTTGACATGTTGGGGTACGAGACCACGCACAGCCAGCCTGTGTTGTGTGTTGAGCTCCAGCTTCCGGCAGAGGAAGGAGGTTTGCGCCGCAACAAGATCGTCCGTCGCAGTCGGGCACGCGTCTACCGCCACCTCGTATAGCCGCCCGCTCGGTGTGCAACGCAAAGAGGCCGTGCAGGCTGCTGTAGAAAGTGGTGCCGGCACACGTATCGTGATTACCCGCCGGAGTGTGGTGCCGAGAACCACAGGGGAAGGCTCGCCCTCACACAGTGCCCCGACCACCATGTACTCCATCTTGTCAACATTTATCATCATGAAGTTTGTATGACACTATTCTACCAGATCATCAGGTTTTTGCTGCAGGCCCTCGAGTCATGAGCCTGCTCAAAATGGGATATCTGTGCATACGCCAGACGCACATCAGCTGGATGAAAACATATAGCGAGACCGGCCATGTACGGCACAAGATAGGGGATACCGACTCGTCATTAAGGATTCTCGCACGCGTAACAAGCCAGTCAGACAGCTTACAGAAACGTCTCCACCCCGCACGCATCACATACCGGATCCGCGCGTACAGCATCCGAAGCTGGTCAAAGATGGGCCGAGTCGGCGAAACCTATGGCGCTCAGTTTTGCCTACAAGATCATTGCCCTAGTCCACAAAGGCAACATAGAATAGCCGGCGCGCGGCGCGCGGTTTCTTGATCACACGACGCAGCACAAACGCATTGTCGTTTGTCGCATTGTTGTTGGTTCGATGGCCAGCACGAGAGTTATTTTGCGTAAGTACCAAGCAAGCAGTGCTTCGTGTCAGCACACTCGCGCACAATCATCATGTTGAGCGCCTTGGGTAAACAGCTCTCCAGCCCGACACATTGTTGGAACAGGTCGCGCAAGTCCTCGTCAGGTAGCTGAACCACTGCCTGATAGGACACGCCGTCATCACCCACAGCCGACGCCCATCTGTCCGCAAGCAGGGGATTCACAGCCACCTCTTCTAGGGTCCATGGGTGCATAAATATATGAGGAGGCCGCGTCACCCGTGTGGATCGAGGGAAATCTTTCGCAAGTTTCAAAACAAGACAAGTTTGAAACGCGTTTGAAACTCGTGCAACGGAACATGCATTGTAGACAG